TTATTTTCCCATTTGTCAGCAACACACACCTGGGATAGAAACCTGGAGTTTTGTCCTTTCCCTGATGCAGACACTCATGTTGATAGTACTGCAGAACCCGAATGCTGAGGGTACCAGTTGGGCTCTCTCTGTGAGTTCACTACTTAGATATTTCTGGCACCAGTAGGTAGCACTCCAGGGATAGCAGACTGAATTTGAGGCAGAGCTGGCATGACTTGGATGCCTAACTAGAACTGTCCTTTTCCATCTTCAAATGTCCTTATTGGGGTATGTTAATTTTTTGGCAACATTTGTTTTCTTTGTTGGAGCCTATTGGGCAGTATTTGAAGTTTGTTTTAAGCAGTTTGTCTGAGCCCTGACAGGTGGCTATTGCCCTGTGCCTCATGGACTCCTCTCTAGACCTCACGGCCCCCATTTACCCAGCCTAGCTCCACCCTATTGGTTGGGATCAGGTTGGAGAAGCTATTCTCTAGTCTCATAGGGGGGGGAATTTTGACTACATAAAAATTTTTAACTTCTGATTACTGAAAAAAATCACAAGATTAAATGAAAAAAGTGGGAGAAGTGTAATTTATATGATACACAAAAGTGTATTATTTCTAACATACAAGAGTTTTTGAAAATCAAAAGACTCAAAAGAAATTCCATTTTTTTAGTTTGTTGTTTTTTGGTTTTTTTGTTTTGTTTTTTAATTCTATTGTTGAAAGTATTACATATGTCTCCTTTTTCCCCCATTGACCTCTCCAAGCCCACCCCACCCCCACACACAGACCTTCCCCGCCCCCCACTATTGTCTGTGTCCATTGGTTATGCATGCATACAAGTCCTTTGGTTGATCAAGATTCCATTTTAACTTCACTGATAACTTTATTTTTTTAGGTATTCTATTTTACTTTATTTTTTATTATTTTTTAAAATAATTCTTTATTGTTGAAAGTATTACATATGTCCCCTTTTTTTTCCTCCATTGACCCTCTCCAGCCCGCCCCCACCACCCCTTCCCCCAACCCAGGCCCTTACTGCCCCATTGTCTGTGGCCAAGGGCCATGCATATATGCATACAGTATTCTTGGTTGATTACTTCCCACCTACCCACCCTCCCCTGCCTTCCCTCCGAGATTTCACACTCTGTTCCATGACTCCATGTCTCTGGATCCACTCTGTTCTTCAGTTTATTTTGTTACTTAGATTCCACATATGAGTGTGATCATGTAATACTTGTCTTTCTCTGACTGACTTATTTCCCTTAGCATGATACTCTCCAGGTCCCTCCAAAGGGGAAGAGATTTTTCTTTTTTTACTGTTGCATAGTATTCCATGGTGTAAATGTACCACAGCTTTTTTATCCACCCATCTGCTGATGGGCACTTGGGCTGTTTCCAGATCTTAGCTGTGGTAAATTGTGCTGCTATGCACATAGGGGTGTACACATTCTTTCTGATTGGTTTTTTGGGTTTCTTAGGATATATTCCTAGAAGTGGGATCACTGGGTCAAATGGAAGTTCCATATTTAATTTTTTGTGGAAACTCCATACTGTTTTCCATAATGGTTGCACCAGTCTGCATTCCCACCAGCAGTGTACTAGGGTTCCCTTTTCTCCACATCCCCCCAGCACTTGTCATTTATTGATAATAGCCATTCTGACAGGTGTGAGGTAATACCTCTTTGTCATTTTAATTTGCATCTCTCTGATGATCAGTGACTTTGAGCATTTTTTCATATAGCTCTTGGCCTTCTGTATGTCCACTTTGGAGAAGTACCTATTTAGATCCTTTGCCCATTTTTTAATTGGATTGTTTGTCTTCCTTTTGTTAAGTTGTATGAGTTCCTTATATATTTTGGGCATTAGCCCTTTATCAGATGTATCATTGCCAAATAAGTTCTCCCATACAGTGGGCTCCCTTTTTGTTTTGTTGATGGTTTCTTTTGCTGTGCAGAAGCTTTTTATTTTGATGTAATTCCATTTGTTTATTTTCTCCTTAGTTTCCTTAACCCTGGGAGATGTGTCCATAAACATATTGCTATGAGAGATGTCTGAGATTTTGCAGTCTATGGTTTCTTCTGGATTTTTATGGTTTCACAACTTACACTTAAGTCTTTTACACATTTTGAGTTTATTTTGTGTAAGTTGGTGGTCTAGTTTCATTTTTTTGCCTGTATCTGTCTAATTTTCCCAACACCATTTTTTTTTTTTAAATATATTTTATTGACTTTTTACAGAGAGGAAGGGAGAGAGATAGAGAGTTAGAAACATCGATGAGAGAGAAACATCGATCAGCCGCCTCCTGCACATCTCCCACCGGAGACGTGCCCGCAACCCAGGTACATGCCCTTGACCGGAATCGAACCCAGGACCCTTCAGTCCGCAGGCCGACGCTCTATCCACTGAGCCAAACCGGCTTCGGCCCAACACCATTTCTTGAAGAGACTGTCTTGACTCCATTGTATGCTCTTGCCTCCTTTGTCAAATATTATTTGAGCATAATGGCTTGGGTCAATTTCTCAGGTCTCTGTTCTGTTCCATTGATCTATATGCCTGTTCTTAAAAATTAAAGAAAGGTTGACTTTCTATTATTTTTGCCTATCAGGTTAGCAAAGAAACTTGGCAGTACTGATCATCTCTATTGCTTGAACATGCCAAGTTTGTTCCCACTTCTCTGCCTTTGCTTTCATACTGTTGCCTGGAATGCTTTTCTTTCTCATCATTTAGTTCTTGGCTTAACGAGTACATCCTCAGGTGTTCCTGACCACACCAGCCGGAGTGGCATCCCTGGGCTCCCCTGCCCTATCCCCTGCCAGGATCTTGGTCACTTGTTATTTAAAGTTCTATCAGAATATGAGCTCCCTGAGGGCAAGGTCCTCATCAGTTGTGGTCAGTGGTATATTCACCTCTTCTCTTGACCTATGTGTCCTTGGGCAAAACTCTTCTTTCTGAATTTCAGTTTCTTCATTGTAAAGTGGAGATCATACTCACTATGGAAGGGTCAGAGGTCATATGTGTCTGTAAATATTCATCCCAGTATCTGACCTGTATCAGGTACTGAATAGGTCATCGTATACTTTTATGTCCTTCCTTTCTTGGTAAGTGTATGTTTCCTATGAATGGATGTTTTTTAATTTAGTTGGTCTTTTCCCTAATTATTGGGTATTTCCAGCTTTCTGGGTTTTTTAAATATTTTTTTGCTTTGTTAATCCTCACATGAGGACATTTTTTCCATTGCTTTTCAGAGAGAGTGGAAGGGAGTGGGGGAGAGGGAGAGAGATAGAAACATTGAGGTGAGAGAGCCACATCTACTGGTGGCCTTCTGCACATGCCCCAACCCAGGGCCCAGAGCAAACCGGCAACCCAGGTACATGCCCTTGACCACTGAGCCACACCAGCCATGGCTCTTTCTGCTTTTTGCTAATGTTGATGTCACTGCAGCAAACATCTTGCTGTGTTCTTCTTCTGGATTATTCCTTAGAATTAATTTCCAGGAAGGTTACCAGGTCAGACTGAGTACTGTGTGGTATTGACTACTATCGTACTTTACCCCCCTTCTCCAGAGTAGTGCATAGGAGGAGCTCAGTGACAGTCTGTTGAATGAACGATGATCTCATAGGTGCATGACCCACTGTACTGTACTCTCATGTAGCCCTGTCCTTTTACACAGGCTCCAGGTTTTAGAGGCAACAGACTATTTGCCATTATGTAGGAGGAATTTGTTTGCCCTTCTCTCCAGCATTTGAGAGTATTACATCATAGGGGAGTGGATGGCAGTGACTGGATTGTTGTTAGCCTTGTGCCTACTAGAAAGACAATAATTCATTGTGCTGTTTCCATCCAATGTTTAGAAACTCCCCTCCCAGGCCAACTCATTAGCTTCTGGGGGTGGGGAACCACTCTTTTGGAGAAAGGAACCTCTATTTCCAACATGGTCCAACTCTCAGCTTTTGGGGAGCTTCTGGCTGGATCCTGGACCTATCTGGAAGGGACCTCCAGAAAACACACACTTCAAGGCCAGTTTCCCATCCACAGGAAGTTAGACCTACTTCAGCTGAGCAGTTGTTTATTATAGAGTCCCTATTCTGCAAACCATCTAGGGACTCTTAAGTAATAAAATACCTAATGCATTGCCAGAGAGGTACAATTTAAGAGTTTGCAGAGTCAGAAGTAGCAGACTCCACTGAGTTGGGGATCAGTAAAGGCTTTTTGGAGGATGTAATGGTTTATGTGGTCTAGAAGAATTTGTTAGATTTCAGCAGAGAAGAGGCCTTGTTAGGACACAGGGAGGTATGTAATGTAGGTGGAGAGTGGAGGAAAAGGTAAAAGATGCAAATAATAATAGAGGATGCCTTGCATGGCAGGGTGAGGAACCAAATGTCTGATTGTCCCCTCTGTTTACAAATCCCATGTGCCAGAATATCCCCCCTGTCTAGTTTCTGGAGAATCAGGATTAAAGAACCCCTACCCCACGCACATTTCCTGTGGCTATGAGCTATGCATCACACTGTCTCAGATGCTAGGTTATTAAGTCACTGAGTCTATCCTCATGGGGTCATTTTGTTTCCTTTGGAATGTTTTCAGTTGTGCTGTTTGGGCTACAAATAGCAGTGTATCTCCTTCCTGTTAGACACCACTGTTTGCGTTTTTTCAGAGCATCAGCGTCCTGTCTCCTAGGTATACCAGATACATGAGTCATGGATGTGTCTATACTCTTAGGAATGGTATTTATATTCTGTTCCCAAATAGCTGAGATAGGAGTGATAATAGTGCCTGGTAGGCAAAGGGCCAAGAGGAGCCCTGCCCCATCCTGGGGGTGTGAGTAGATGATTTAGGTGCTGGTAGTGGCTTGGGCACCACTCTAAACAGACCTGGGAGCTTTGAGGAAGTGCCACGTGCCCAGGTGTTACTTGTTTGTTGTTGGAAGATGAATGAGTGATTCATCTGTCAAGGGTATGAGTGAATTAATCCAGCCTTCCTGGCCCTGCCTAACCTTGGTCTTGTTCTATCTGGCAGGCAGAAGTGGAGGAGACACTGAAGCGACTTCAGAGCCAGAAGGGAGTGCAGGGAATCATCGTGGTGAACACAGAAGGTACACCCCGCTCCCACCATGACCAGCACGCAGGCAGGCCCCAAAAACAGCCCAAACACAGCATAACACTTGCTGTTTACTAAGCCCCTTCATGTACATGAATTTTTACTTTTTAAAAAAATAAATATTTTTATTGATTTCAGAGAGAAAGGGAGAAGGAGAGAGAGACAGAAACATCAATGATGAGAGAGAATCATGGATCAGCTGTCTCCTGCACGACCCCCACTGGGGATCAAGCCCACAACCCGGGCACGTGCCCTTGACCGGAATCAAACCTGGGAACCTTCAGTCTGCAGGCCAACTGAGCCAAACCAGCTAGGGCATCACCTTTGTTTTTTAACATCTCAAGTGTCCTAGCACTATTATTGAAATTCTAAATTTTAAAAAAGGAAAAATTCACTCAGTCCTACTGCCCTGACAGGTCATACTTTTCAATATACCATGTTTTTTCAGCCCTTGTTCAGGTGCATTTTCTCTTGGTTATAATTATAGTTATTAGCTCTTTTGCATATGTTTACTCATGAGGTTTGTTTGTTTTGCTTCATGTTTTACATAAACAAATTTTTTTAACTGCCAGTACTATTTTTTTTAATACATATTTTACCAATTTAGAGAGAGAGGAAGGAAGAGATGGAAAGAAACATCGATGAGAGAGAAACATTGATGGGCTGCTTCCTGCATGCCTCCAACTGGGGATCAAACTGGCCACCTCAACCACTGAACCACACTGGCTGGGCAGTGCAATGTTTATTAATCATCCCCATTTATATTGTTTCTGATTTTTTGCTAGATAATACTCTGGTCAACTTCTTTGTGCCTATAGCTTTTCCCTTCTGTCCTGGAACATTATTTCCACAACTAGAAGAGTACAGATAACTAATTTTCTCAAACTGCTATAGACATGGCAAAGAGGGAGACTAATTAATTTCTTACACACCTACCTATTCTGTGGTGCTTTATAAACATTCTGTTTTATTTCTTCCTTAAAATAGCCCCTTTGCCTCCATTTTGCAGTGGAGAAAACACTAGAAATTCAGTTGATTTGCCTGCCGTTACAGAGCCAAGATTTCATTGCAAGTCTGTCTGAATGCAGTTGTGCTCTTCCTCTCACTTCCTATGAAGGACCAGAGAGTGGCTATAGGTCTACAGCTCAGGGCCACCCTGCTGGCCTCCCCAAGTTCTGTAGTTCAGTGTATTCATTTATCTCTGATTTATTTGAGGTTCCTTGAGGGCCCCTGTGTGTATGCATTGTCATTCTGGACCGTGTTTGGAAAGGCAGAATTCTCAACAGTGCCTGCCTCTGTAGAGCAGAATGAAGGTCACGGCAGGTGACAAAGTGGGGGTGGCATGTCCTCAGTAGAATGTTGTTTTCCAAGTCATTAGACCATGGCCAGCCCAGAGTTAGACAGAGGATGCTCCCCAGCTTCGTCAGGTTCTGATTAGACCACGTGGTCGTTGCATTCGAAGGAGGCAGCAGGTTGGGAGTGCTCAGGACTCTGTGGAGGCCGAAGCAGGTCCCGGGTTAGGTCTGCTACTGACCAGCTGGTGGCTGGGGCTTCCCCTTCTCTTCAGACCTCTACTGCCCCACGTGGAGTGGTTGCTCCAAGACCTGAAAGGCTGTTTGTATGTCACTCAGAGAGATACTGTCTTCTGTGACTGGACTTTTTTTTTAAATCCCCTACAGGGACATGCTTTCGTTGATTTTGGAGAGAGAGAAAGGGAGAGGGAGAAAGAGAGAGAGAGAGAGAGAGAGAGAGAGAGAGAGAGAGAGAGAGAGAGAGAGAGACATCGACGTGAGAGTGAAACATCAAACAGGGTCTCCTGCATGCACTCAACCAGGGATTTAATCTGCAACCAGGGTATATGCCAGGGGTGGGCAAACTTTTTGACTCGAGGGCCACAATGGGTTCTTAAACTGGACCGGAGGGCCAGAACAAAAGCGTGGATGGAGTGTTTGTGTGAACTAATATAAATTCAAAGTAAACATCATTACATAAAAGGGTACGGTCTTTTTTTTTTTTTTTTTTTTTTTTTAGTTTTATTCATTTCAAACAAGCCGGATCCAGCCCGCGGGCCGTAGTTTGCCCACGGCTGGTATATGCCCTGATTGAGCATCAAACCCACATCCTTTCGGTGTACAGGACAGCACTCCAGCCAACTGAGCCACACTGGCCAGGACTGGGCCTGGACATTTTGATCCCAAATGGGAGGGAACAGCCTCAGAAGATGACTCCTCAGCTGGGACCCCGAGGCCTTCACTAGTATTTGCAAACCATAAGCCTTCGTTCCTGCCTTAAAACTGCCCAAAAGCTGAGCTTTTTCATTGGGAAAGTGTAGTGCCAGCTGCTTACCTTTTGATACTTTGAGCACTTTTTGTATAATAATGTGGCAGTATTGCACAGTGGTGAAGAATATGGAATGGGGAACCAGACTACCTGTATGTGAATCCTGACTCTACCTACTTATCATCTGTGAAATCTTGGACAAGTCACTTAACCTCTCTCTTTCAGTTTCTCATCAGTAAAATATAATCATACTACCTTCCTCTAATACAGCGGTTCTCAACCTGTGGGTCGAGACCCCTTTGGCGGTCGAACGACCCTTACATAGGGGTCGCCTAAGACCATCCTGCATATCAGATATTTACATTACGATTCATAGCAGTAGCAACATTATAGTTATGAAGTAGCAACAAAAATAATTTTATGGTTGGGGGTAAAAACATGAGGAATTGTTTTAAAGGGCCAGAAGGTTGAGAACCACTGCTCTAAGAGAAGCTTTTAGAGTAGTGTCTGATATATAGTGCCATGTAAATGTTAAAATTATTGTGTGTGTTTATTTTTATGTTCCATTCATAGAACTCACTCTTCAATCTCTCATTTACATTTCACACAGTGACCCCCGCAAGGCAGGGTTGTTTGCCCCTTTTTCAGATGAGAAAACTGAAGCAGGTCTAGCCCGTTTAGCTCAGTGATTAGAGCATCGGCCCACAGACCAATTGGGAGGCAACCAATCGATGTCTTTCTCACATCAATATTTCTCCCACCCCCCTTCTCACTCTCTCTAAAAAAAAAAAATCAGTGGAAAAATATCCTCGTGTGAGGATTAAAGAAAAAAAAAAAAAAGACCTGAGAGAGGCGTGGAGACCTGCCCACGGTCACCCAGCTGTGGTTGTGGTGGCCAGAGCTCACTGCTCATGGGGCCTTTAAGTCCTTTGGAAGCTTTCAATTAAGGATGATTTAGCTCAGCTGCCTTTTCCTACGGGCTGCCTGCCCTGACCACCAGCCCAGAAAGATTGCTCTTGCTCCTGAACTCATGACACACCCTTGTTTCAATCACTTACCACCATCTACCACTGCATTTTGACATTTCTGTCTTGAGCAGATGCAAATGATGTTTCATTATAAAAGTGTGAGTTTAAGCAGACTTAGCAAGAACTTAAGGAACATTCTGTTCCATTTCTACCTCTCCAACTCCCCTGCTGTCCTCTGTTGCTACCTACACAGGGCAAAATAAAAGACTCAATGTGTAAGCTCCAGGAGGTCAGGGATTTATCTCTTGTGTTCACTTACTATATCTCCAGCACCTGAGTTTGCGCTTAATAACTGTGTTAAATTTTGTTGGTATTGGTATTGATTGATGGAGCTGGGTTTGGTGGAAGGACCTGGCTATGCAACCTGACAGATCTGAGCCTCAGCTTAGAATTGTGCCTCCCTCGTACCAGCCAGCTCTGCAGGCTGCAAGTCTCTATTTGTGAAGGCAGTGGCTTGGGGTAGGCGGCCTCATCATTGACATATCTTTGAAGTGGCCCCAGCTCTGGCATCCTATGAATCTGGCATTCTATGATCTGATTCCCTTACTTGAAATTCTCCCCAGTTCTGCCCCACCACCACCTTCATGTTTTCTTAGGTTTTTAAAATGAGCCAACAAGTGGTTAGATCCTTGTCTCCTTTACACATCCTCTCACTTGGTAGGAATGTAATCAAATGCATTTCTAAATTACTGAAAGTAGCCCTGTGACTTCTCATTTATCAGCAACCATTAATGCTTAATGCAATGTCTCTAAGGACACTGGCAAAAAAATCAGACCTGGTCCTGACTAGGGATGAACATAAAGGTGTGATGTCAAACTCAACTAACTGCGCCGAAGGAAAATTGTGTGGTGCTGGGATGGTAGAATGGGGCATTGACCATATCTGGGGGCGTGGAGCCACCATGAGGTGGAGACCTGAGGGACCAGTAGGAGTTGTGAGAGAATAGGCGAAGAAAGGGAAGTTCCAGGCAGAGGAACCTGAGAGAAGGTGCCCTTGTATATAACAGAGAAGGTCAAGACGTTTGATCACCTAAACTTTTCCAGGCCTTGAGACTGGCTGCTCAAGTTACCTGGGGGTGGGATTTATTGTGGGTGATATTGATAACAAACCACCAACATTTATTACATACACTAGAGACCCTGTGCACAGATTCATGCACTGGTGGGGGGGTGTGGCCGCTGTGGGAGTGCCGCTCATCCCGGTCAGCCAGGTGGCACTCCCACTATGGGAGCGCACCGACCACCAGGGGACAGCTCCTGTGTTGAGTGTCTGCCCCCTGGTGATCAGTGCGCATCATAGTGACTGGTCGACCGGTCGTTCTGGTCATTTCGCCATTCGGTCGCTGGGCTTTTATTATATAGGATACTCTTGCTAAACATTCTTAAACCATATTTAATCCCCACAGCAGCACTTTGAAGCACAGGCATTTTACAGATGAGGAAAAAGAAGAATAAAATAAATCACTTGTCTAAGGCCACATCGCCATGAAGGGGCAAAGCAGGGGTATAAGTTCAGGTCATCAGATTTCAGAGTTTCTACTCAGTCATCACTGCAGTTGCTCAAACTATGATTCTTAGAAAAGTCCAGTATCAAGCAAGGCCCTGGTGGGCACCTTGTTGCCAGCCAGGGCCCAACAGCACCTCTGATAACCTAGTTGTCTTGTCTCTTAAAGGCAAGTGATCACTACAACTTGTTCTTATGACTTCAATTGGCTCAAACAGCCTCACTGACTCAGCTGCTTCTCTTGTCACTATGTCATTTTCTGCCTACTCTTGTGTTCCTGTGCCCTAAGAAGACGAGGTTGGGCCAGTTTCTTGCCACTCATGGGTAGGCCTGAGGGTAACTGCCTCTGGCTGATCTTTAGACTGCTCAATTGCGGACCAGATTAGCAGGGCCTAGGTCCCAAATCCAGCCACTTATGTGTGAGGAGCCACTTGTGCTATATTCATCTAAGAATCTGTCATCTATGTACACCTGGAGCCTCATTGATGGAGCCTTCTGTTGGCATGACAGTGATTCATAGGCACCTGATGATCCAGTCGTGGCCTGAGGTCACTCAAGCTGAGCCCCATACCTCACCTCCATGACAATAGGCACTGTCCTGTGAGGGAGATCCATGGAATAGTTCATCACAAGGAAACAGTCTTTAAAATAGAAGAGGCTTAAAGGACAATGGTGTTCATTGAACAGCAATTAAGTAAAAAACCCAACCTTAGTATCAAACAGTAGAGGCATGATGAATTCAGTGGGATGGCCATTTTGTGGGCTCTTTGAAAGCAGTAACAATGCTGGTTACAAGGGTGTAAGCAGACAGAGAAATGGGCTTTAATTTTCATGTGTACAGACAGCGTGGACACGAAGCCTCCCTTGGTGGGCATAGGAACAACACACGACTGATGGTTATGTCTTGGCCCAAACTGGCCTTTTTTCTTCTTCCTACTCATCTGTGTTTCAAGATATGTAAGTGCTGTCCTCCTTGTTCAGGTTCTGAGTGTTCTGAATGATAGTCTCCTCTGTTGCCAGAAACTAGTCAGGACAGGGTAGCCCTAAGAAAGGAGCCCAGCAGTGGGGCCAGCAGGCCTGAATCGAATCCTGGCCCCCCGCTTATCTGCTGTGTGACCATGAGCAGGTCACCTTACTGCTCAGAGTTTTTTTTGCCTCATTGGCAAGTGAAGATGCTGACGCCACCCTCAGAGTAGTTCTGGGGACTAGCAGTGAAGTGCTCAGAGAGACAGGACTATAGCCTGCCAAGCTTTCAGTAAATAGTGGCATTGATTGTTAACTGCCAGCCCAGGACTCTAGAACTAGGGGTGTGGGGCTGGGAGCTGGGCAGAAAGGCCTCAGCATCCTGCTCAGTCCCTGTCTGCTCTTCACACAGGCATTCCTATCAAGAGCACCATGGACAACCCCACCACCACACAGTACGCCAACCTCATGCACAACTTCATCCTGAAGGCCCGGAGCACCGTGCGTGAAATTGACCCCCAGAATGACCTCACTTTCCTTCGAATTCGCTCTAAGAAAAATGAAATTATGGTTGCACCAGGTAAGAGGTCTTCCATGTCCCCTCTTAGGATCAGGCTATCACTACTGCTTATCAGGAAGGCTTAGCACATTGGTGTCTCCTCAGGTTCCACAGAAAAGCCTGAGGAGTTGAAGGTACAGAGTTGATTGCCTCTCTGTCTGTCCATTCTCTGGCTGGCATCCCCGACAAACACTCATTTACAGTGACTGTGGGTCAGACCTTCTCCTGGGTTCTGGGCCTTGGAGGGGAATCCTGGTCTCATGGGGGAGGTAGACATGTAAGCATGACACAGTGTAACCCCCGCCCTTGATGTGGGGATATTCGAGCGCTTGGGAACAGTGAGGGTGTGACTAGGCCTGCTTGGGGCAGTCAGCCGGGGCTTCCCAGAAGAGGCGACATTCAGCTGACTCTTGAGGGTATAGAAAAGTGTAAGCAAAGTGGATGGGCAGGAAACCTAGGCTTGGAGGGAAAAGATTTGGTGATCCCTAACCAAAGCAGAAGGCAAAAATACTGTATAGTCATTTTATCTTTGAAAAAATGTTCAGTTGCCCACTTCTAAAGTATAGTCCTGTCTCTCTGGGCCTCATACAGCCAGCTTTCCCTCCAACATTGGAACCGATTGCTGTTTTTATTTCACATGAGGTGCTTGGCTTGCATTTGGGGGTTGTGTGGTACAAACATCTGTCGTTAGGTCATAGGATCTTTCTCAGGGTGATGAGATGCTCATCCTGGGAGGATCCCACAGGGACTGGGACTACAGGAAGGAAGAGCAGAGCCACCTGTCCGGCCTCACCTCACTCCGCATTCAGACTGGATGGTGGGCAGGTTCTCCAGGACTTCTTGTTGTTGTTAATCCTCACCTGAAGATACTCTTTCCATTGATTTTTAGAGAGAGTAGAAGGGAAGGGGAGGGACAGAGAGGTACATCAATATGAGAGACACATATTGATTGGTTGCCTCCCACATGCCCTTGACCTGCACCAGGGATTGAGCCTGCAACTGAGGTATGTGCCCTTGACCAAAATAGAACCCCCAGTCCTTCAGTTGGTGGGCCGACACTCTAACCACTGAGCCAAACTGGTTAGGGCCAGGACTATTTTGGCATGGCTACCTCTCGCTCTCCCTGTTTTCTGAGCCATAGTTGTGTGCATGAGTTAATTGTGCACCTGAAAAGGCAGGTGGGCTGCAGGGCAGTTTGTCTAGGGCTGTGGTTGGCAAACTGCGGCTCTCGAGCCACAAGCGGCTCTTTGGCCCCTTGAGTGTGGCTCTTCCACAAAATACCGACTTCTGCGCATGGGCCACGAAGTTTCAATCTCACTGTACGTGTCGCGTCCACATGTGGTATTTTATGGAAGAGCCACACTCAAGGGGCCAAAGAGCCGCATGTGGCTCGCGAGCCACGGTTTGCCGACCACGGGTCTAGGGCATCAGAATATATGTCAGAAGGAGTGGGAGGTGAAATGTTTGATCCAATTTAGAAAAGGCCTCAAACACAAAACTTGACTGTGCAGACTTGACCCTGTGAGCAGGAGGCAATATGATTGTGTCTGGGACCTAGGTGAAGAAGGCAGTATGGAGGCTAGGGACACTGAATGCCCCTGGGCTTGGCAGACAGATGGCAAAGAGACTGGCTATAGAATTCTGGGGTGATTTGATGAGGGGAGAGGGGGTCACACACTCCCAGCAGCAGAGCCATATTGGTTCTGATCCCAGGCCTGTTCCAGCCCAGTCTGGCAGCTTGGAAGGATGTGAAGGAGGGAACCATAGAGCCAGTCACAGGAACCCGCAGTCGCCCTGGGACACTTCCTGGAGGGGTGGGGACAGAGTAGGTCAATCCAGAAAAGAACATAGGATAAGATGCTGTACACTGTTGATCAGTTTAATCACTGTCTGATGATGTCTCTGATTCTGTCAGAGAAAACAGATTGTAGCAGGCAGAGTTCATTTTCCCAACTTCAGCTCTTAATGATTGTGACCTTAAACAAGTCATAGAACATCCTGAACCTCTATTTTCACATCTGGAAAGTATCACATAGCGGCTGTACTGCTCTGGCCCTCTGAGACACCCCATCTAGTTGAGTATGTTGGCAGGGGGTAGAGCAGAAAGGCTCAGAAGCATATGGACTCCCTCCCAAGATTCTTGCTGTGTGACTATAGATAACTCTACTTCCCTAAAAGTTAGGCCAGGAACAGTCCCTTTACTGACCCTGCACATCAGAGCAGTGTACACGGGACTCTCAGTGTGAAGCAAGGACAGATTATGCAATCTCTAAATCAGGCCCCATGGGCCGTGTCTCTTGACATAAAGCTTCAAGAACGTCTCCTCTGGAACAGCAGTTATCTGAAAGCTCCTGGCCATTTGTCCCGTCTCAGCAGCAAAGGCATCTCCAACTTGCCCTTGAGGGACCCCCAGACTTTCAAAGCACATGGGTGCAGTTGGTGCTTGAGTCCAGTTAGAGGTTCTCCTTTGGGTGCACAGGCCCAGAAGCCCCTCAGCCTTGTCAGTGGAGGCGAGGAGGAAGTGGCCAGACCCTTGCCCTGGTGACATTAAGAGCCTGCAGGGAGGGCATGCATGCGCTCTCACTTGCTCACTCGCTGTCGGTCCAGCACTCACATCCTCATGGGCCCCCCCACACACACCTTGTTTTCCTGGCAGGATGTGTGACTTTTCCAGGTGCCTTAGACACAGTGAGTGTTCCTTCTGAACACCCTGACCACTTCTCCAGCCACCCTGCTGCCTGTAAGAGCCTCTCCCTCACACATGCTGTCCTGCTGCTGGCAACACTGCTTTCCACTTGGCTAACCAGCCTCCTTATCTGCATTTTTAATTCTGTCTCCTCCACTAGACAGTTTCAAGAGTACAGAAACTTGTGAACACATTTGACAAATATTTATTGAATAAATAAATGAAAGACTTCCTAAACCTCCCTCCATTGCTACACCCCACTGTGGGGGTTGGAGGTGGGGTCAGCAGTAGAGATGGGAATCAGGGATGTCCGTGGGACATGTTATTTAGGATGAAAACCAGTGATTTGACATCTTGACACAACCACTTTGATATGGCAAGAAAAATACACTGCCAGCAGAGCCTCTGAGGCATTAGGGCTGGGTCGCCTTCGGATGGCCACAGAGCACAGGCCCCATGGGGGCAGCGCCCAGCAGAGAACAGCCTGGCTGCTGTGTGTTTTTGAGGTGGGTCCTTCCTGGACTGTAATTAGCACCCCATATTGTGGGAGCAACCTAGCACAGCCCTGCCAGGAAGGAGGTTCATGTCCCTTTCCTCCCACCTAAGCTTCCTCATGGATCAAACTGAGGAGACCAAAAATAGCAGCAGGTGGTGTCAGACAGTGTGGATCTCCACATTTGTACCAAATTTCACCCCATCCTGGTCCAGAATAGCCCACATGAAGAGATGTTTTCAGACAGACTTGGTTTTCACTTGTTAACCTCCCTGATGTAAAGCTGAGTTGACAGCATAATCAAGCTTTAAAACTCTGCTTCCTGCAAAACACTTGGAATGATATTATTGAATTAGAGCTTGATTTTTTTTTTTTGGAAGAAAAAAAAAGAAAGACACTAGTATTGCTAATTATGTCCGCTTTTATCGGTGGCTTTAATTATTTTTATTAGTAAGTGATTATTTACTTAAACAGATTGCTTAGTCATGAAACTATTAGTCATATAAGATCTGCTTCTTCCCAGTCCCATCAGCCGGCCGTCATGGGAAACAGCTAGCGTTAGGCTTAAATCAGCAGACAGAAAGCGCGTGTGTCCGAGGTCCTGCCATTTCACTTCTGTTCAGCAGGGCGGTCAGATCCAGCCGCCACACCTCACATCTTTGCCTCGGCTTGAGCAAGATATGTAACTCTCTGAGCCTCAGTATAAAGTGAGAAAACACTAGTACGTACCTGCCTCATACAGTGATTGAGGATTCATGGAGATGCCATTATAAGAAGTGGTTGGCCCAGGACTGGCCACATGGAAGCCTTGGTAAATGTTCACGATCTGATAATCAAGGCAAAGTTGAAACACTGCTTCTCCAATTTCTTCTATAAAACGAGGAGCAGTCAGACTCAGCCCTGAGGTCTTGAACTTGCAATGCTTTCATGATGGACATTCCTCATTACTGGATGGGATCCTCAGAGCTGGAATCCATGTAGCTTTGGCCCCCTTTGATCGGTGCCTTTGAAATTTTCTCATCCAGCCTGTGGCAGATTAACCCAAGAGCAGTGGGGTTGTAGTTGGTATCTATCTTTGACACTGATTTGCTGGGTGACCTTAAACTAGTGTTCTCCCAGAACCTGCAGCTTCAGTATCACCTGGGAACTCATTAAAAATAAATACAGGTTCAAGCCTAGACGGCGATGCTCAGTGGTTACAGCATTAGCCCAGGCACCAAAGGGTCATGGGTTCGATTTCCCGTCATAGGCATATACCTGGGTTGCAGGTTTGATCCTCGGCCCTGGTTGGGTTGCATGCAGGAGGCAACCAATCCATGTGTCTCTCTCACATGATTGTTTCTCTCTTTCCCTCTTCCCCCTTCCCTTTCACTCTTTCAGAAAATCAATGGAAAAAATATCCTCGGGTGAGGATTAACTAAAAAAAAGGAGATTCTGCCCTGGCTGGTTTGGCTCAGCGGATAGAGCATCAGCCTGCGGACTGAAGGGTCCCAGGTTCGATTCCGGTCAAGGGCATGTACCTTGGTTGCGGGCACATCCCCAGTAGGGAGTGTGCAGGAGGCAGCTGAATTGATGTTTCTCTCTCATTGATGTTTCTAACTCTCTATCCCTCTCCCTTTCTCTCTGTAAAAAATCAATAAAATATATTTTTTAAAAAAAAGATAAAGAGAGAGACCCTTGGGCTCTACCCCAGACCTACTGAATCCAAGGAGCTTGGGGTAGGGCTTGGCAGTGTTTGTCTTAAGCCCAGCCAGCCCTCAGGTCATTCAGATGCCCTCCATTTTGAGAACCACTGGCAATTTATTTAAACTCTCGGAACCTGAGTTTCCTTACCCAGAAAACAGAGGATATCCCACCTCCCTGTTGGTACTGGGAAGATTAGAAAAGAGCATGCGCGCAGAGCTCGCTGCTGGGTCTCGCTGCTGAGGCCCTCACAGGAGACCTGCCAGTTTACCTTCTGTCTCCCAGCAATTGGAAGTGGCCTGGGCAATGGTGCTTGTATTCACCCACTCCCTTTTATGGTTGGTGGTTTAATTACCTGTTTCCTTTCTAGTGTGTTTTTCTCACATTTTACATTTAGTAACTTGTGTTTTCTTTTTTCTCTTTTTGCAGATAAAGACTACTTCCTGATTGTGATCCAGAATCCAACTGAATAAGCCACTCTCTTGGCTCCACGCATCATTTCTTAATTTAATGCCCCCCAAGAATAATAGTGTTAATCATGTCAACCAACTGGCAGGTGGAAATCACCTTAGAGCCCATGCAGACCAATCCAGTGACCAGTGTGGGCTGCAGCTCCACCCCACCCACCAAAGGCATCCCTCTGCTGGCCAGTTCCCCTGAGTTCCCAGGAGGGCTCTTCCCTCAAGTCCAGGTTTCGGAACAAGAGCTTATGAGAGGCCCACACCCTGCTTCCTCCTGACGTTCGGTTCACTTTGTTGTCCTTGGAAAAGGCTGCTTTTCTTTAACTAAAAATAACTGAAACTTGCCCTGTTGTGTGTCTTTAAACACTAGGTTGAAAGGCCTCCCTCTTTCTGTGTCATCACGTGGTCTGAAGGCTGAGCCCTGGGGCCAGCTCCAGCCCTCCCAGCAGACTGTGTTTGCAGCGTGAGGGCCTGCTGCTTACTGCACCTGTGGCCATGCTTGCTGAGCTGCGCCTGGTTTATGATCGGTACCCTGGTTTCTGGGTCTCTTGTCCCTAGCCGTCCCTGGTATCATTTATCACTCCCACCAATGTTTTGGGGGTTGGTTTGTTTAATCCTCACCCGAGGGCATGCTTAGAGAAAGGAAGGGAGAGAGAAAGAGAAATAAACGTCATGTGAGAGAAGCATTGATTGGTTGCCTTATGGATGCTCCCTGACGGGATCAAACCCACAACTCAGGTATGTGCCCTGACTGGGAATTGAACCAGCAACCTTCCAGTACATGGGACAACACTCAACCAAATGAGCCGCTCTGGCCAGGCTCCCACCATTGTTTTGAAAGATTTTTTTCTGTTACACTGCCCTGGGGAAAGGAAAGAAGTAGTATGTGTTGAGTGCCCAGAATGTACCTGGTGTGTTACATACCATGGCGCATATCCTCACAATACCCTACAGACGGTATCAAAGCCATCTTAAAAATGAGGAAATTGGGGTCTAGAGAATGCCTTGCCCAAGGCCTCACAGATAGGAACACAGGTATTTGACTCCAGAAGTTCTGCTCTTTCTGAACTGCCTTCCGAAGAAATCCTGGGTGGTCCCATTCACCTGAGTGAGCTCATCCTGGGCAAATACCCACTTTCCCTTAGACTCATGCGTGGGGGTCCCAGAAGGTGCTACTCTGACTCCGTAGACCACCCATCACTCAGCAGCACTCTGGTATTTTAACCACATGTGTTTAATTTTTATTAGGTTTTTCTTTTTGTCTTTTGTTTCTCGTTACAGAGGGGAAAGATTTAAAACTGTTTAGTGCAAACCTTGAAATCCCCCCTTCATTGTCCTCCCTTTCCCCATAAGTAACCTCATCTATGGTGTGAGTTCTTCCATCTAGCAAAATACTTTTCTAAATTTTCAGTGAAGTTTTCAAAAAAAACAGTATCAGGGAAGTAAAACATGTACCCTTGGAACATAGGGATGTAGTTTATAAGGGCTCTGCAAATTTCTTCAAATCTCCTATTTTAATGAATGATCATAAGAGTTTTCCATTCCATAAAACATCCATGTTTGTCTTAATATAAAAATAAACCTTTTAAATAATTTCCCCCAAATCTTCAAATAGAACATTCCCTAGGAAACCACTGCATGTGTGTGCTGTCCCTAGGGACTCAGGAAGCAACCCTGAAGAGGGGGATTGCAGGACTGGAGCAAATTGGCCCTGGATCCGTAATTTATCAGGTTCAGTTTAAAAGTGAGGTTCAGCAACCAGTATCTTTATTTTCAGAGGCTGTGGGTGGTTGGGATCCAAGTCAGATTCCCGAGTCCTTCTGGCTTGAGTTCCTCCTAGAAGAAGAATGAGGAAGAAGATCTGATGGGGGGTAGGGAGGTCAGCTCTCTAGAGGAGGGAAAGGCTTCTGTCCCTTGGGAAGGAGGTGGGGACCTGGCTCTCTTATTCCCTTAGTCCCTCCCTCTTGTTTGCCTTAAAATTCCCCATCCTAAAACTCCCTTGAGGTCCTGGGAAAAGTTTAGGCTCAGTCTGACTTTGGGGGAAAACAGGTGGCTCATGACCATAAAGATGCTCCACCTCCCAGTCCCTTGGGAGTGGGATTTCACACATGGGAGGCCCCCTTGGATGCTTTCCAGTTTGTCATGCAGCATGTAGAACTGGATTCATCCTAACCTGTAAAAATGCATGTTTTAAAAAGCTTAAATAATCATACAACACGTGCAGCAACCCTAGTGTTTCTGTACTTAAGATGAGGATGTGGCCCTAGCCCAGTGGTCGGCAAACTGCAGCTCGCGAGCCACATGCGGCTCTTTGGCCCCTGGAGTGTGGCTCTTCCACAAAATACCACATGCAGGCGCACATGTACAGAGCGATTGAAGCTTCGTGGCCCGTGCGCAGAAGTCGGTTTTCGGCCTGGTCGAGTCTATTTTGAAGAAGTGGGGGGTGTCGGGCAACGGGTGACGGGGCGCAGGTGGCCCAGGGGATACACAGCGCGGGGGAGGTACATTGTTTTGAGGTATCTGAAACAAGTATACAAGACGGGTGTGGATGGGAGAGTTGGAAGGGGTCGACCTCAGCGAACATACCTCAGTCAGATTGAGGATGTTTTTAGCAAAGGCCAGTTTAGGAGTACCCTAATTAAGTTAATAACAATGTATCTACCTATATAGTTTAAAGAATTTGGCTCTCAAATTTCAATCGTTGTACTGTTGATATTTGGCTCTGTTGACCAGTAAGTTTTCCGACCACTGCCCTAGCCGATTTGGCTCAGTGGGTAGAGCGTTGGCCTGTGGACTGAAGGGTCCGGGTTTCAATTCTGGTCAACAGGCACATGGCCGGGTTGTGGGCTTGGTCCCCAGTAGGGGGCATGCAGGAGGCAGCTGAGCAATGATTCTCTCTCATCATTGATGTTTCTATCTATCTCTCCCTCTCCCTTCCTCTCTAAAATCAATAATAATATATATATTTTAAAAAGTAGAATGTGTACAGGAATACAGTATCTACTGACATCATAAACTGACCGCTGTCCTGGGCATGGCTTCTGGGTTTCCGAAGTACATTTGACTATAACAAGGGTGTGCCTGCTCCCAGGATTATGAGATATTTCAAACATACAGAATTGAAATAATTATATATTCTCCAATTAATATCCTGCCATATCTATTACATAACTGTTCATTCCGACATCCATCCCCCCCCCCCTTTTTTTTACTTGGTGTTTTCAAAGGACAATTACAGATTAGTACACACTCTTAAACACTTCAATGTCCATATCGTTAACTAGTTTACCTTTTTTTGGAAGGTAGATAAGTAAGATTTACATATAGTGAAATGCACAAATCCTAAATGTACCACTTAAGTGACAAATTTGTACACCTGTCAACCTACCTCCACCCCTTTCAAGATCATAGTACTCTAGAAAGTTCTGCTGCTTCCCAGCCCATATCCACACCTACTGACCAAATGCAACCCTGTTCCGATTCCCATCAGATAGGAACTTCACCCTTCAAGGTATAGCTCTTGACTGGGGTCCCAGTATAGAGGCCTGCAATTCAGAGAAGTGGTTGCCTCTCTGAAAAATGCAGCAGCTGCCACCTCCATCATTCATCTCCCCTCCGCCTCAGCACTTAGCACTCTTTGTTGAAATTCTGATGTTCCTCTGTGAGCTGGTATCACCTTTTCTCAAAAAAAAAAAAAAAAGTGTTTTAAAACATTCTAGGAATTACAGGCTTCCTCCTCTTTCATATGTTTGACCCTCAGATCAACTACTTTTGTACACCTTAAAAATATATAAATTTTTTAATTGATTTTCAGAGAGGGAGAGAGAGAAACATCAGTGATGAGAGAGAATCATTGATTGGCTGCCTCCTGCACGCCCCACCCTGGGAATGAAGCCTACAGCCCGGGCATGTGCCCTGACCAGGAATCAAACCTTGACCTCCTGGTTCATAGGTGATGTTCAGCCGCTGAGCTAGACCAGCCGGGCTGCTTTTGTACACTTCCATTGAGAATCCTAAACTATCAGGTTCTAGTAAAGTACTAGAAAATTTATGGAGATCTCCATAAATTCAATCATTTGCAGCAGGTAGAAATTAAATTGCTAAATATCGAATTGGTAGACAATCCAACGTCAATGAACTTTAGCTGATCCATATTCAATTGAGAAGGGAAATAACACATTCAAAGTACTACCTATTGTTGCGTTAAACAAGCTCAGTTGGATCAAAGACCAACTTTATCTTGGTCTCCACTAAATTTATTCACTGGGTCTCATTCTTCCCCTGTCCCTGGAGGGAATGCAGGGAAGTCCCAGGCTTTGCCCATCACTTTAGATACTGAAGGCCCTCCCGTAGGCAGAGGAGGTGTCCAGTCCTGCGTAACAACAAAACCTTTGAGCTTCATTTAGAGACACAAGCCGCCCCTTCCCCAGCCTGGGCCTGCCGCCAGCCTTGCCCCTGCAGTAGGGGCTGGGGGAGAGGCAGCAAGTGCTTGGCCTTGACCTTGTTTCCCCACCTTGTACTATCACCTCTTTTGTCCCCTGTTGCTAAGACACAGTGAGATGGGGAGAGGAAAATTCATACTTTACCAATACTGTTGTGAACTTCTGGCTCTCTGAGACTGGTGTGTGTTTAAAACTGAAGCTTGGGCTTCTGATACATGAGTTTCAAAGGCCTGCCCCTACCCCCCAACTCCATCCACTTCCCTTGTCCTCCTACCTGCCATTCCCTTACTTTGTTTTTAATCTTTTTAAAAAAATATTTTTATTGATTTCAGAGAGGAAGGGAGAGGGAGAAAGAGAAATATCAATAATGAGAGAATCATTGATTGGCTACCTCCTGCATGCCCCCTACTGGAGATCAAGCCTGCAACACAGGCATGTGCCCTTGACCGGAATGGAACCTCGGACCCTTTCATCCACAGGCCTGACACTCTATCCACTGAGCCAAACGGTAGGGCTGTGTGTGTTTTTTTTTAATCTTTATTTATTGTTGAAAGTATTACATATATGTCCCCCTTTTTACTTCCGTTGGTCCCCTCCAGCCTGCCCCCGCCCTCGGGCCGAGGCCTTCACCACCCTGTTGTCTGTGTCCATAGGTTATACATATATGCATACAAGTTCTTTGATTGATTACCTCCCACCCACTCCCATCTTCTCTCTGAGATTCTACACTCTTCCATGCTTCCATGTCTCTGGATCCACTCCATCAGTTTATTTTGTTAATTAGATTCCACATATGAGTGAGATCATGTGATATTTGTCTTTCTCTGACTGACTTATTTTACCTAGCATGACACTCTCCAGGTCCCTCCATGCTGTCTCAAAGGATAAGAGACTCTTCTTTC